GTATTATGATGATAAGGTGTTAATGATATGATGATGATAATGATATTATTATATCATTGGGTGAAAGAACCACGGATTAGTTTCAAGTGGATATAAACTTGTGTAAAGGTGTATGAATACAACATGAAATAAAAAAGAAATAAAATACTAAATAATAGTAGTAGCGCGGGAGAGGGGAAGCGCTACTACTAATTACCAGTAGCGCTTTTCTGAAGGAGCGCTACTACTAAGTCAAGTTACCAGTAGCGTGGGTCTAGGCGCGCTATTGCTAAGCATTAGCTGTAGCGCCTTATCAGTAGCGCTCCTGCCCGCGCTACTGATAGGCCTAAAACCCGCGCTGCTGCTAGGCTTTTCCCTAGTAGTGATGAGGGATGCAATTTTCTTCTGGTCAAAAAATGTTGCTTTGGCAAACCTGCTATTGCAATACAAGGTTGTGGGTGAACATGCATATGCAAGCAAAGAACTGGAGCAACAACTTTCACCGTCCGACGAACTTGATCCCACGCGCTAGGTTGACAAAAAGGTCCATAGTGCAGTATGAGTGAGTAATTTGTATTTAACTAGGACCAGGCCTGAACGATAATTGCACTAAATGGTAACCTGCAGCCCTGCACCTCGATCATAAACACACCAGTAGTTGGCCCACGTTAATGTATTAATGTTGTGTATTTGCTAGCTTATCCATGTGTATTGCCGTAGTATCCACTTAATCACTATATTAAGTGCGAATCGCTAGCATCAATCATCGGTCAGGATAACATCCTCGCGTGGTACCACGTCCCAAAAATTCGCGTCCATTTTTAACTAGAGATGTTTTTTGCCTAATTTTTTTGTCTTTAGTGTCTTTTCCTCTTTGTCGAGTTCCTTGCCTGGTCACACTTGTGATCACTAGTTGTAATTTTTCCCATTCTTAATGAGAAACCAGAGCACCCACGGTCTTCATAAAAAAACATATCATAAAATTAGCTAGTCATATAGCTAGTTCATTAATCTTTGTGTTTACAGATAATACTTTTTTTTGGCGGGACGTGTTTACATATGATGCTATTTGACTTGATTTTATGGAAGTGATTAATTCATGTCATAACCGGGGTTCTCTGATATAAGTATGATTTTTTCCGAGTGAACTAGGAACCTAGTAGTAGCTTTCATTTCAACAATGCAAAAACAAGATATTTATTTTTGCTTTGAAGGCATGGGTATTTGGCTTGAAGTAGAAGCATAACTAGAATAATTTGATCCAATGTTGAAAAAAGAAAATAGCAAGAGATAGAAGAATAGACACGATTATGCACCCATATCCAAGAGAACTAAATGACATCTGTAAGCATGGAGTACAGTACCACTTGAAGGAATTAAGAAGAGGAGAAGAAAAGAGAAACGATTAAATCATTAGAACAATTTGGTACCCATGCACCCTCCTGCACATATATTTTATTCCATATCGAATGGAAAGCAGCCAGAAAGAGAGGAGCTTAAAGGCTGATGGAATCTTGCTCATCTCATCCTCCTCCCCACTTGCATACATATATAATTATATTTTGCATTTACATTATGCTCTTAATTAATTACCTTATGCATGCATTTTAGATTACTAGTACTAATTAAGCATACCAATACTACTGACCTGTGAATGGATTTGTCAACAAGCTGGTAGTGACCATGCATGCATGCATATGGAAAAAGGCAACACAAGATGCTCCCCCAGTACATAGTTAAGGATGGCATGCATTAAGGCCATGTTTGGTTCATAAGTCTTAGATTTTCTCTAGTCCTAACTAAAAAGTTCCTAGTCTCTCCGTGTTTGTTTCCAGGGACTAAAAAGTTCCTAGTCCCTTCCTAGAGGTTATTAAATGATTATTTTACCCCTAGTATACAGAAAAATAACAACCAAACAACATCATGAGGCGGTGGGGCAATGGGTGCAGGGAGGGGCATTGTTCGAAAAGTCCCAGAAAGTCCCAAAAAAGACTCTCCTTGAGAGTCTTCTTCATTTAGTCCCAAAAAGCAACTTTTAGTCCCTAGTAGTCCCTCATGTTTGGTTAAAAAGCCTCTAGGAGGGACTTTTCCGAATCGCTACACCAAAAAGTCCCTGAAAACAAACACCCCCTAATAGGTTTCCGAACAAGCAGTCTGCTAGCTAGTGGGCATGATGCAATATGTAACTATCTATATGTTAGCCACTAAGAGGGAACAAAACAAAGTAGGTTGCCTTAGGCTGGGGAATCAGAGGAGGATATTTGCATGGCGGCATGACATCAGTGGTGCATGCAGCTGCCTAATTAATTAATTGGTGAATTAAGGCAGGCACAAGGAGACAAATTAATAATGAGTGGTGAGCATTCTCCCATGTTACATGCTTGGCACTAGTGGTGTATGCTGGGGGGCTCGTTTCCACTAACCTAGCTCGACCACTCAGTAGCAAGCCACCACACACAGATTCACAAAGTAGACAAAAAGGAGTAAAGGAGCTTACATATGTGCTTCCATAGTTGTGAAGGCTAGATATTATGAGAAAAATATTAGTTACTTGCTAGTAGCACAATTTTGCAAACGGGCCTTTGCTGTGTGTGATAATAGTGCTACAGTGCTATAGTATTAAGGATCAATGTTAAGTCGGCCCGAAGAATCTGTGGGGACATTACTAAAATTTTAAATTATTTTCTTCATACTGTACAATAATTATAACCTATGTTCCCCAAAAGCTGTGGGGTCACCTGAGCCCACAGTTTGTGCATAGAATCGACATTGTTAAGGAGTAATCCATCTAGGGGAGCTGAAAAGAGGATGGAATCTTGCTCATCTCACCACCCTCCCCACTTGCATACATATATACTAATTATATTTTGCATTTTCATTATGCTCTTAATTACCTTATGCATGCAATTTGATTACTACTAATTAATCAAACCACTACTACTGACCTGTGAATGGATTTGTCAACAAGCTGGTGCTGACCATGCATGCATATGAAAAAAGGACATCAATAGCAGATGCCCCCAGTACATAATTAAGGATATATAGCATGCACCAATTAAGTTTTGAAACAAGCAGGTTGCTAGCTGGGCATGATGTTAGGGAACAAAACAAAGTATGTTGCCTTAGGCTGGGGGATCACAGGAGGATATTTGTGTGGTCCTCGGAGTGAAAACAGTGACTACACATAGTGGGAGAAACATAGGTGTCACCTAAGCTAAAAAGATGATGGGTCAGCTAATTAATGAGGAGAGAGACAAATTGAGCAACATAGTAGTAGCTAGTTATTCATATTATGAGTAACATCACACGTGACAAGACAAGATGAGTCTACAACATAATAAATAAAGTGTTGCATGGCATTACACATATGTTAATCCTCACTATGAAGGAAGTAATATTGCCCGTAACATATGCATGTTACTAGTCTAAGTAACTCCCCACTACGGGTAGTGACTTCCTAATTAATTAATTGATTGATTAAAGTAGACACAAGGAGACAAATTAATAACAAATGAGTGATAAGCATTCCCGCAAGTACCATGCTTGCCACTGGTGATGTATGCTAGGGGACTCGTTTCCACTAACCTAGCTCGACCTCTCTCAGTAGCCAGCCACCACGCATAACATTAATAAATGTGGAAAAAGAGAAGAAAGGTGTATAAAACAGCCAGCCACCACACACAGATTTACAAAGTTGACAAAAAAGGAGTAAAGAGCATACATATGGGCTACATAGCTGTCAAGGCGCTAGATATTACCAGACAAGAAGAATATTAATTACTCTGTAAAGAAATATAAGAGCATTCAGATCGCTATAGTAGTGATCTAAACGCTCTTATATTTCTTTAGAAAGGGAGTCCTAGCTAGTAGTACAATGTTGAAAATGGGTATTTGTTGGTGCAATAGTATTAAAAGGAGTTCGTGGGCGCAACATGCGTCTCAGGTGCGGGCAGGTATCCATGGTCACTCGGGTGGTATGGTTGCGGGTGTTCGGCATAGGGATACGATGGAGGGGGTGTGAGAGCCGGAGTGCACTACTTGCTCAGTTGTTGTACTAGGTAGAGGCAGCGGAATCCGCGGACGTTGTTTCCTTCCTTGAGGTTCCGTCGCGGTGTTCCCACTTCCTTTGTGTTACTTTAGGTCAAAACTTGATCCTTGGGATCGGATGGTGATGGCTATCGGTGGTCGTGTTCTTCTTGGATGCACGGTCTTGTAGTGCTTACTCCGTCGTTGTCTGTCTCACCTTTCCTCTGTGGATTGCATCGGGGAGGTTTCAGTCGGCCCCAGGCAGTTCTTCTTGGCGCCTATGTAATTTGCTTGGTGGTCGTGGGGGTGGTGTAGTGGTGACCTATGTATTTTGTCTTGGGTGTGTGTGTGTGTGTGTTGTGTGTGGTGTTTCACATGAGTTTGTAACGGGTTGTTTGATGGTTGGTGCTTTATATATAGAGCAGGGCGAAAGCCTTTTTCTGTATAGTATTAAGAAGTAACCATCTGGTGTGAACTTTGCTAGTGTGCAATTTTTTTTAAGTGCAAATGTTTTTCAGTTCCCGGAAAGTAGCATGTAGGCGACAAAAAACCTAATAAGAGTTGAATTTCCAAGATGCTAGCAAGTAGTGGAAACAGCAAATAAAGCACAGGACAGTGAGATTCTTGAGCTGAAGATGCCCTGCCCTTATATTCATTGCTGTCTCCCATTGACATCCAGTTACTCCCTCCGTTCGGAATTACTTGTCGTGGAAATAAATGTATCTAGACGTACTAATTTACTACTACTATAACATTATTAACTGCTAAAGAAAAGAAAAAGAATGGAATGTTCTTTCTTGTATTGCAGACATACTAGTAGTACTACTCCTACATCACAAACCCCAACTATAAATACCCTCCCAACGGACCCCCTCACCACCTCACTCATCTCACTCACTTCTTCTCCAACACGACCAGAGTAGCCATCTCACTCATTCCTCCAGCAATCTTCATCTCCGTGCCTTCGGCTGCGATCTCTCTGTAGATCGTGCGAGATGACGGTGGCGGTGTGCCATGTCATGCCGCCGGCGCTGGACGTCGCTGCTCACACTCACACTCGCATGCCGGCGTCGATGCCGCCGCCGCCGCAGCTGGACATGTGGAGCGCCATGCAGACCCCGGCCGAGGACGTCTGCGCCACCAAGACCCCGACGCCGCCGGCCAAGGCCAAGGTCACCTACCCGATGGCGACGGTCCGGCGGTCCATGAGCCACGAGAGCCTCAGCCTCTGCACCGAGAGCGTCGGCTGCGAGACCGGCACCCGCGACGACTTCCTCGACCTGTCATCCATCCTCTACGCACCGCCACCGACCCACCAGACCGAGGATACCGTTACCGGGGACTTCTTCTCGCCGCTGGCATTGCAAGAAGACGAGGAGGAGGAGGAGGAGGAGGCGATGGGGGAGGTGCCCCTTAGGGAGGTACAGTACCACCGCGCTCGGCCGCAGCGCGCGTTCCCGCCGCCTCTGCCGTCCATGTCTCGCCGCGGCGGTGACGACGGCGGACCGTCCCTGCGGGTGCGCCCGCACCGCCGAGACGGGCGCCTCGTGCTGGAGGCCGTGGCCACGAAGCCCCAGGGGTACCTCCATGCCCAGCGCCAGGACGGCCGCCTCAAGCTCTGTTTCGTGGAGTGCTCCCCTGCCTCGGGATCTGTTCTCCACCACCAGAAGCAGAGCATGGTGCAACAGCCACACCAAGAACACAATAGCGTCGACGAGGAAGACGATGTCTTCGAGGAGGAGGAGGACGAGGTGGAGGTGGTAGACAGGGGCACGGTGGTGGAGGTAGTGGCGGCGTCCGGCAAAGCGCAGCGGTGCTCGAGGATCGTCATCAACAAGTTCGTGGGCGGCGCGCCGGCCAACACAGACGACGCGTCCCCATCGCGCTGCTGCAGAACTACCGTCGACGAATTAGCCGCTCCGACCGTGACGCCTGGGCTGCGCCGGGTCCCGTCGTCCACGACGACGCTGGCGGCCGCGGTGGCCGCCGCGTCCACGGGCATGCAGTCCGACGAGGAGGACGAGGAAGAGGTCGACGACGAGGAGAAGCGGAGCGTGCCGCTGCTGTTCACGTCGCGGGTGGGGGACAGGGAGGAGCTGGTGCAAAGCGTGCGGCGGTGCCGGCAGCTCCGGCGGAGGCCGCTCTTCATCGTGGAGCCATACTCCATCATCGCCACCTAATTATTACTCCAAACTACTAGTCTTCAACACGGGCTAGCGTGAGAATGCCAATTTTGTATGTTAATCGTCTTGTTGTGGCAGCCAACATGAATGAATTTATATGAAAGAGGTTGATTACTTAATTACATTGGTACTATATTATTTCATGTAGTTTTCAATTTTGAAAAGATGTTAATATGACAACAATTTTATTCAGGTAGCATGCCACGCCCTGGCAAATGAGATATGTGAATTTCTAACTAACCATAGAGTGCACTTTATTAAGGAGAATCAAGTATGTTTTCCTTCATCTTACAACGTGTATACGATGAGGCCAATGGTCTCCAAATCATGTCTCTGAACTCTATGACCGAAAATTTGAAGAGGAAAGCAGCACTTGTTAGATATTAACCTTTAGGAAAAACATTATAGGATATACGATCTATTGTTTAGAACACCTCATTAGATAATACAAGCGAAAGCTTGATAAAAGAACCTGTGACGATCGTGGTCATTGGACACCGAGGCGTAATCCCTCGACTGCTTGGTGCAACATGATGAACGGTGGAGCCTTGGTTATGTTGACTTGCAGGGGTAGCTTAGGAGTTTAGGAATGCCATGGATGCCGCCAGCACTGCCCTCGAGGTGGCCGGCGGTGGTGAACGACCTTCGCCTCCCTCAACACCACTTTTGAAATGGTACTTAAGGGTTAAATCCACCCTATCATGTACTAGGTCGTTAAATCTGACGGGAGAGGGCCCTTTTCCAGGTGCTGGGAAATCGGGACCCAAACCGAAGGTTTTTTGACACCCCTGATTGGCGTCAAAAGCATGACAATGGTCCCCCAACCCGTGATGGTCTCGGGGCGCCTCTGCAACCCCGAGGCGCGGTGAGTCTTGGCGGGCCGCCGTCCACGCAGACGAGCGGTGCCGGCCGGGGTTGAGGTTGCCTCCCGTGACCAGTTGTCCGTGTGGGTGCGGCATCGGTTGGGCAGCTATCATTTGAGGGGCTTGAAACTTCTAATCGGGCGGCAACGGTAATGTCAGCCCAAGTCAGATTGGTCTAGATTTGCAGCCGGTGGTGCGGAGTTGTCGATGGTTCCCTTGTGGATTGGCAATTCCGTGGTCATTCATGCCTTAGATGATCCGTTCACTCCATAGATGCATGACGGTATTTGTGTCCTTCACTCGGTATGATTTGCTGCCGCGGATGAGGATGACGGAGATAGTGGCAGCGTGTGGTTGTGTTGTCTGATTCTGATTAGCCATTGGCCGCCACTTGTGAGGACGGTGCGGGACTATGGATTGTCCTGAACATGGGATTTTGGCAAGTGCCGGCGACCAGCCTTCCTCATCGATGACTTCGCTGTGTGGTAGTGATCAGTTTTGTCGTGGATTGACTATCTGCTCGCCCTACACGGTCATCACTCGGACTGTGCGCGTATGCAGCTGCTAAGATTGTGGCAAGTGGAGGAGGCATCATATAAAGACTTCGGTTGGGTGGTGCCTCTCAAGTACCCGGTCTCGAGCCCCGGGGAGAAAACTCTAAGTCAGGCCCTTGTTGGTTATACTTGGCAATGGTCGCATCTTCTGCGTCGTTACCTTGATGAAGGCATTGCCTGGAGTTTTTTCGACCGTGATCTCTAGGCTGAAAGCACACGATCTGACCTTCGACGGTTGGATGAGGCGACGGCGGCATTTCCGTGTCGTTTCCTTCATGGAGGCGTCGTCTTTGAAGAACCTTTCTCATAGTCTATGTGTTGTCAAAAGGTGGTTGGTACAGATGGCTGCTGAGGTACATCATCGGTCGCTGTTTTGATCGCTTCAGGGGATTTTTATTTCTTATTCTTTTTCTTTATGCATCTAGGCATTAGCTTCGGTCTTATTTGACTTTGCTATTTGTCCCCGTGATTTTGTGTGTTTGCGTGTGTTGGTTGTGTGTATCCTAGATATGCAGAGGCCTGGTGTATAATCGTTATTGTATCCCTTGATGCTACATTATGAGTCAATAAAAAGCACCATTTGTCGAAAAGTGTCAAAAACATGTACCCAAAAGGTAGATTTTTCACTCGGAAATATATAAAGGGAACTAGCATGTTCTACACGTTGTAGAAATAAAGGAAAGGAGCACAAATATACGTTGACATATAGGATGTAATTAAATTAGTACTCAGATAGTTGGATAGCGGTTGAATCAATTGATACATCGAATGAGCTGGCAAATTTCATATAGAATTAGTATAAACATGTATGGATCATCCAGATGGTCTCCGCCCACGTATGTATGAACATTGCAAACACTGTGTTGGATTGTCTTGGAGTCCCTTTATTATTTGGTAGAAGAGAATATGATAGTCAAGGCATGAGTTTAATTAAGTACTCCCTTCATTCCTCGATTCCAATGAATAAGACGCACATGCATCTTAAAATTGAAATTTGACCATAAATTAGACCAAATAAATATGGGTCATATGTGACAAAAATTATACCGCTGAATTCGTATTCGAAATAAGTTTTCAGCGATATAATTTTTTAGTCACAGAAACATATACCATCGGTCTAATTTAGAATGGAAGTAGGATTTTGATATATGTGTGTGCTTTATTTATTGGAATGTTTGTTTAACTACACAAAGCGCTGCATGTGTATCAAGTTTATTTAAATATCCATTTCAGGGGGAATTAATTATGTCACTTTACTCACAATGTGTTGCACGCACATCATACTTATGAAGCACAATATACAATAATGTGAGCTAGCAATATATATTGTGCATGTCGTTACTCATAAAAGGTTTTCATGCTTAAAGTGGTGACTTTCTACAAAAAGTATTAAGGATGAGACCAATTGGTGAGGTGGTTGCTTAGAGACTAAGAATTGAAGTGCAAGCTAGATTTCCTTCAACATATATATTCGACCGTGACACGCAGAGATACATAGAGAAAGAAAGAAAGGAAGAAGCACTAACTATTAGAGCTAAGGATGATGGATGAGATATGAATGGGGCTAGCCTTCTTGGTCTCTTGCCTTGCTGTTCATGTATGGTAACGATGTCCATCGAGGCTGCTCCGATATCCAAATGGACCCTAGCTACGTACCTCGATCCATCCATATGATCTTTTAGCATAAAATGACAACTTAAAAACAGGCCACTAGTATACTTTTGCTCTCTTTTTTACACAAATGAACAAATTAAATCAAACTGAACGTTTTATTTGTCAGTAAACAGAATTCTTCCAGTACCTATATTTGCAAATTTCCTAGATCAGTGCATGCATATATATGTATGAAACAAAAAGTCAATTCGGTCCATTTAATTTGTTCCAACGACTGAAACTCTCATCTGTTGCATGTTTACATGTACCAGTAGTTAGTAAAAGCAATCAACTAATCTGACGATGCAATACTCAACTAACTTGATAGCTGATGCGCCCATGTTTAGTGCCTTAGTGTTTTTTGCGTAATGTATATGTAGTATTTAATAAAATTGCATGGATGGTGTGCATCTTATTTATGCAACAAATCAAGTGCACAATTTGAAGTGCTTGTGCGTATTCAGACCTGATGGTGATGTAGTTTCATGCATGATCCGGTTGTCATATATATTTAGGCAACTTTTAGGTCGTGCATCATCAAGGTAGCGACCAGAAGCAATTATTCAACCTGCACCTTGCTTTGTGACATCATTTGGGAAAGTATAGATGTCTGATGACCATTGACAAGTGACTATCATGTTAGGTTGTGAATCATGCACGAGATCATTGACAAGTGACCTCACATGACCTTTCTGAAAGGAGTCACCTCGCACCAATGAATAATTCATGACATATAAATGCTTTCCTTTGCTCTTTGCTAGTTTCCAGAGTTAGGTTTTGAAAGCAATGGATGCAATGATATCGTGTTTAATTGTTTTGTTGTGTGCTAGCTAGATAGCTGACCATGATTGTATGTATGTATGTATGTATGTATGTATGTATGTATGTATGTATGCATGTCATGATCGGTCTTTGTACACTCAAGATTGTTATATACACACCATGCATCATGAGGCCTTATTAGAAAATGAGCCATGGCGAGCTTACATACACTATTGAAGAAAAGTCTCTTATTGAACTAAACCAACATAGATAGTTTTCCTAAAATTTATGTCGCATACGCATTTGTTTGGAAACGTTGTGTGTTACAAAGGGTGGTCACACCCATCTTTTCCTAAAAAGTTTGTGACATATCACCTCTAGTTAATCAATAAAAAACGTGCTATACCACCAATCAATCTTAGCTTCTTTTTCGCCACTCTCTCCCTCCAAGTCACCACCCCCCGCCTCCAGCCATTTCTACTTATGTTCCACCTCTTCCACCATACCTACTAGGTTCCCATCAGCATGTGCAACAAGGACCGCCAATTCATACACATGGGTACTTACTACCAATGTGACAAGATGAGCTGTAACTACTAGGGAAAACCTTATACACAGAACCTTAGCATTACCGCTGGACAAGAAGGGGCGCTACTGCTAATTAGCAGTAGCGCGTGTTGTAAAGAGGCGATACTGCTACCGACTTAGCAGTAGCGCAGCTCATTAGAACAATGCTACTACTAAAATTGACCGACCGTTCCGGCTATGCTAGGTTTAGCACTAGTGCGTCCCCTTTAACCGCGCTGCTGCTACTTTAATAGTAGTACGTAGCATGCTTCTCGGAGCGGCGCTACTGCTAAGCGGGGCCCGCCATGTGGCCAGGTTCAAACTTAGCAGTAGCACCCTGCACAAACTCGGCATCGGACGACTGGTGATCACAAAGATGGCCCCTGGCAAGTTTGAGCCATTAGAGCCGGAAGAACCTCGCAAGTGCTACGGGAACCAAGTCGGATGCATCCTACGGGAATGCGCGAGCATCAACAATGATGACTTAAGGGGTAAAGACCATTTGAGGCAGTTGCTCCTGACGAAGTTGCACAAGAGATTCAAATTCCCCGACCGGGATGACAGCATAGTAAAACCGTGGGATGATCCGACGACGAAA